AACAACAACAACAACAACAACAACAACAACAACAACAACAACAACAACAACAATCCGAATGACAGCCTCAATCAGTAATATAAAGCAACAAGAACTACAAAACCGATTAGCAGATGAATTAAATATAATCCCTGACTGAATCTTAACTGAATACATTAGGCCTACACAACCTATGAACTGAAACCTGTCAGTTAAATACAAATACATATTGGATTATGTATTGAGCTTTCGGGATCTGGTTAATGTTGAAAATGTCCTTAATCTTTTCTGGGTAAAAAAAAAAAAAACCCGTCGCTCTCTTGGGACAGAATGAACTCTGAGATCAGGCCGGTCTAGTAGAGCGGGAAGGCAATGTACTTGCAATAATTAGAATGATGAGAGTTTCATTTATGTAACCGTAAGTAAGCACTTTGTAATCGTATTGTACGTAACCCCCTTCCAAAGAAGTAAACTCGCCAGGAGCGGTTCCAATTTAAATCATATAAATGTTAATGTACGTGTTCTTACGCCCGATAGACGCACTTAAGATTATTTAACGAGATGGACTTCTGACCCTGCCTGCTAGGGCCAACCCAGGGTTGAAAGGATACAGCATCTCAGCAGAAATACCGAGGTACTCGATAAAAAATTCTTCCCACTCGGGAATCGAGCTAGGGTCTCCGGCGACAGTTAATAAAGCGAGGTGTGTACGCCCTACGCCACGGACGCTGGCAGGAGTGGTTTGCCTACGGAAGTAAGTTAGAACATTCAAATTTTGAGTCTGTTAGCTCGGCCATACCAAAGCCTGTGAGTGAAATTAATCCTTCTCTTTCTTGGGTTACAGCTTATTAATTTCTTCTCTCTGAACCCTTTTCACTGTTTCTCTACATTAACCACGCCCCAAACTGCCTACTCTTTTCCCTACACTTTGCCGTTTCACAGGTCTAGTGTGTCTGTCTGTCTGTCTGTCTGTCTGTCTCTCTCTCTCTCTCTCTCTCTCTCTCTCTCTCTCTCTGTGTGTGTGTGTGTGTGTGTGTGTGTGTGTGTGTGTGTGTGTGTGTGTGTGTGTGTGTGTGTGAGAGAGAGAGAGAGGGGTGGGGGCAGGGGTGGAATTGGTACATTGGCTGATAAATTAATCTCAAACTTTCACCCTGTTACCGCCATCTGAATAATTATCTCGTTCTATTCCCTTGCATAAAGGACACTAACCATGAGAATCCATATCTCATTTAACATATCAACAAATCAGTGGTAGTTTGGTAGTTGACTTCATTTATCATAATAACTTACTTAACTACTACTACTACTACTACTACTACTACTACTACTACTACTACTACTACTACTACTACTACTACTACTACTACTACTACTACTACTAC